TTCTTCTCGACACTCTTCTTATTCTTCACTCTTTCCCCCAAACCTCCGTGCCGTTGCGCACCCACGCTCGTTTATTCTTTCTCGACACACCTATGCACCTCGACTTTCCTGCTCCCCGGGAGCTGTTGCAAGTGTCCGCGCGCGACTCAAAAAGCCAGCCTCGATCCGACATCTGATAGCATCCGTCTAGCTGCCAGAGCCATATTCTTCCCAAAACCAACAGCTGAGCATGGACGACACTGTGAGCAACGCAGGTAGCAGCAACACCCCGAAATATCATGCGCCCAAGGACAAAAGTTGCCCCTATTGCGGGCAGGCCTTCACATCCTCGTCACTAGGACGCCACCTCGATCTCTACATCAAGACCAAGAACCCTAAACCTCCAGATGGCATCCACGATGTCGCGGAGATTCTGAAGTTACGAGGCAACATTACAAGACGCACACAGCGAGCCTCGATGGGAAGGGCAGCATCCACACCAACCGGCACACCTAGGATACGGACTAAGAAGGAGCCGTCTGGCAAGGATGGAGACTCTCACAAATCCCCCGTTCTCCCCAAAGATGGCCAGTACATGGTTGATTCGCGCCTGAGCAAGTACTCCTCCGCATTTGGTCCGCCGACATGGGAGGCGACTGGTGTCATCAACAGCATTCCCAATAAGACGCCTGACATCTCTCAGGGCGGCGAGGGCGATGGTTTATTGGATACTGGCAAACGGCCTGGCATGCAGAGACAAGTGAGCAAGCAAGTGCTGCAGAAAGCTCAGTTTGATGTGAAGCATAGACTGGCAGATGCCATGGATACAGCCAGAGCCGCGGAATTGGCGTTGCGGGAGGTCCTGGGTTCATGGCGGGCAGCTAAGTATGTCGTCAAGATGAGACCAACACGAGGCTGAGAACTGACTTTGCAATAGGCAGCATATCGACAACGATTCCATGCCGTTCGAGTTTGATCCATTGTCCATGGACTTTCCCTCCTTGACGCTACAGTGCCTGCAACCACCCCCAACACTCTTCTCTTCAACACAGCACCCCACGTCTACGTCGTGGTCAGTTCAGTTTCCTGGCCAAAGGGAGTTTGACGCGCTCCGTGCCCACTTCCAGGAGGAGTTCAGAGCGTGGAAGGTGACTTGCGCTTCGGCGACGACCGCCGTAATGGAGGAGCTGACTTATCCGCCCCGCGAGGGACCTTATCGAGACGCTCGTGAAGCTGTCAAGAAGGCTGAAAAGCAAGCCGAGACGCTGGAACGGCAAGTCAACGAGCATTTGCAGTCGGCATATGCTGTATGGGACTCACTCCCCGTGGCAAGGCGAAACGAACTCTGGGTGCTTGAGCTGGCCAGAAGCGTGGGAAGGAAGCAGAAAGAGACTGAAGCGCTGAAGAAGACGCAGCATAAGATGAAGCAGGAGAACACCAACCTCAAGGCGCAAATCGAACAACTCAACCGCCTCCAGCAGCCTCGCGAATTCAAGATTGTAACGCCTACTACGATACCTCTTGAGCCCGAGATTCTCTCGCACATTCTCGAAGCCGGCGTCAGGGGAGGTCGTGGTGTCGGTCTCAATTCGGACGACCGTCATTTGGACCTCAACGAGGTCATCACACGATCAATCGAGCGATGGAAGACGGTGATCACGTCGTCTCGCGTCTCCTCCGCTGGCATGAGTGCCCAACGACCTCTCGACGCATCCTCGGCTGTTACTCCCGCAGCCACACCCGTACCTGCTCAACGCCAACAACCTGTCGTGCAGCAGACTCAGGAAACACCGCAGACAACCAGACCGCCTATGCCACCGCAGCGACAGTCTACTACAACAAGCGCCACAGGCATGAGTGAGCAAGAGGCATCATCAACAAGCGGCCCGCCATCTGTCAGCACAAGCGACCGCGACGCAGACGCTGACGCTGATGCTGATGCTGATGCCGATGCTGATGCCGACGCTGACGCGGAACTTGACATGGATGCCGAAGCAGATGCAGATGGCGACATGGACGCTGATGCAGACGTGGACGTGGATGTTGACGCCGAGATGGATGATGAAGACAGCTTCGCCATGTTGACAACGCCATCGACGAAATCAATGCTTCCGCAGCAGCCGATGCAACGGCAGGCGACGCTCGATGTTCCACGGACACGAGGACCCATGCAACAGCACCGAGGGGGCGCGAATGATGCACGGTTCCTGATGCAGAACGGAGCGGCGGCACTTGCGAACCGCACACACATCAACATGAGCCGCTCGATGCCCAACATGCAAGCAGCGATGCAGAATATGCACAACGACATGGGAATGGCAATGTCTGGCGTTCGGGGAGACCCCATGTATATGGACTAGGTACCAAGAGGCGCGTGCCCTCCGCCTTTCGAACTGCACTGGGCTTGGACCCAACAAAACACACTGGATTGATTTACTTTGAAGCCATTTTGTACAAAAGCCTTACGGATTCACGTTTTGATCTAAGCGCACATAGAAGCGTAGCTCACTACCCTTGGGAGTTTTGCTGTATTAATAAATGAAGGGGCCAAATTGATGACACCGATTTTGCGTTTCCATCTGGTCTATGTGACTAAAGGTCTGACTGTTGATGAATCAGTCAGGAGTTTGCAGGCACCATGTATGACAGTTGCCGCCAAGCATCCGGGATCTGGCTTCCAGGGGTTTCATGGTATATGACTGGGTCCTGGTACTGTGACACCAATCAAACGGTCACTTGTGATGTGTGTTTGCTGCCGTCCTAGTCGTAACCCATGAGTTTGTCGTGCCATATCCAGAATGGCGTATAAGTCGTGCAGGCGCCCAGCATGGTGAGCACTGTCTTGCCCGTCGCAACGATCATGTTCAGCTTCTTCGGCTATATCCCACTGCCGGAGACATTGCCATTTTCTCGCTTCCCAAGGCAGCTATACGATTTGAACACTTACCCTCACGAAATGATTCATTCAAACCGTTGGGCTCCCGCTCATCTGTCGAGCCAGGCTAGCGAGGATCCGGGCATGCCGCCCATCACGCGGGACGGCATTCCCGGCCCTCACTCGTCGACTTTGGAAGAGGCGAGAGACGAGGAAGGGTACTCGAGTGCCGAGGATTACGCGTCTATGGAGCCTCGGAGCGATTCGTCTGGTGAGAGTAGACAGGATACTTCTGATGGGGAAGAAACCTCAGAACTCTCTAGAGATGGCGAGCAGGACGTCCCGGCCGATGACCCTGACGAGAGAGACTGGCATATTGTCGGCGATGCGGCGGGGCCGGACCCGGACCGCACGGTCGCGACGCTGCTGAACATGCTGTGTGTACTGGACAGGCAGGCCCGAGACCTTGAGAAGAGGGGGTATGAGATGAACAGTAGGAGGGGCGAGGTCGAGAGGCAGCTGTTGAGGACTGAACCGTGGGCGCTGGCGCGGGAGATGACGGGCGAGGAGGCGTTCTGGTGGGAGCGGCGGGACGGGAGCGGCGGCCGCGAGATTGAGGAGCTGAGAAAGCTTGCTATAGGGACGGTCGGTCTTGAGGTAGCGGCGAAGGAGGTTGAGAGGAGGAGGGAGAGGGTGGTTCGACTGTTGGCTGAGGTTTGGGGTCGTGGGATTTAGATCGTCTGAGGAATGAGTAACTGTCGGTATACCCTAATGCGGCGAGGTACTGTATCTAGAAGGAAGACTCGACATTGTTCCGAAAATTGCAGAGTATCAAGACTGTTAGTGATAGATTGCTCTACCCTCATGCGGGATCCGTATTCGAACTCCGAAGTCATATAACGCTGTTTGATCTCGCTGTACTGATAAAACTCAATACCCAAAGTCCTCCCAGACAACCTCCTCGTTCTCGAGCCAGCCTTTCATGACCGTCAGCAGCGCAGGCGCAGCGCACAAGTAGAACTTTCTCTTCTCCCCCTCAAACACCCGCTCCAGATCATGCTTCTCCATCCGCCTCCTCTCGATCCTGACGCCCAAAGCCTCGACCTTTGCGAGCGCCTCCTCGTCCGCCTCACCAATCTTTCCCGTGACATGTACGCTCAGCCTTGCCGCCAATCCCGGGATCCTCTCGACGGCGTCACGCACAACACCGACGTCATCCCCCCTAACCCCCCAAATGACCTCGAACGCCTTGCCACCCGTCAACAGCCCCGGCGCCTGCGCAAGCAAAGCCGTGATGCCGACGCCGCCCCCCGACGAAAAATCTCCTTCTTCTCCTGCTCGGGGACGGGGCCAATCCTCGTGCCCTCCGTCACGGCGAACCCGCGCACGGCAACCTCGAGCGGGCCGCCCCGCAGCAGGTGCTTGGCAAGCAGCTCCGTCGCGCCGCCGCGCTTCACGCGCGCTGTAATCTCGAACGCGCGGGCGGACGGGTAGCCCGAGATGGTGAAGCTGCGGACCCAGTCCTCGTTCAGGCTCCGCGGGTCGTCGTCGCGCATGTGGCTCCAGCCGTGGTCGAGCTCGGCGGCGAAGTCGAGCGTGACGTATTCGCCCGGCACGGGGTCGCGCGCGGGACGTCGAGGGCGAACGTGAAGCGCGTGATGCTCGGGGTCAGGGGCTGGCGGTGCTGGAGGGTGGCGGTCGCGAGCGGGGTCGAGGGCAGAGCGGCGGCGCCCTCGGCGGCGAGGGGGCGGGCGGGCGGGTTGTAGGGGGAGTAGTCGACCTGCGGGGACGTGGCGCGCATGGGGAGCCCGGCCTTGACGAGGAGGGCTGAGGTGAGGGTGATTTTGATGGCGAGGCGGGTGTGCGGCAGCAGGGCGCCGGCAGCGTCGCCGGTGAGAATCGTTGCCGTTCCGGTGGCCTGACGACTTGTTAGTTCCCAGTTCCAGATTGCCGAGCAGAATGCGAAGACGTACATAGAGTACATCCGAAGTGTCAAAATCGGGTATGGTGATGCCCACGAGGGGGTTGGCCTGGAGATTGCCCAGGGTCTGGTACAGCCTGTTTCCCGAATCTACATCCGTCAATCATTGTAGCACGTTGAAGAAGCAGCAGGGAGCAGCAGCGACAAACTCACACTCGGGGTAAATCAGCTCAACAGCCCCCTCATCGTTTCTCCCGATTCTCACAAACCCCTTGCTCCCGCCGCGATGATTCGTATCCATGCCCGTCCCGTGCCCGCTCGACAGGAAAAACAGATCCGCCTGATCGACAACCCGTCTGGCCCTCGCGCTCAGAGGGAATCCATCCTCGACGCCCTCGACCTCGGGCGTCCTCGCGACAAGAGCCCGCCCGTTGAGGTACTTGGGACAATTGCCGAGGCTCCCCTCGACGCGGACCGCCATTTGCACCTCGCCCTGCGCGACGGCGCCGGCCACCAGCCGTCCCATGAGCTTGACGCGGTCCCTTGTCTGCAGGTCAATGCCGAGCCCCGAAACGACCTTGTCGCCCGAACGCACGACCTGCTCATCGACGACAGGGCCACCCCACAGCGCCCGCAGCACGGGGTCGTGCGCGGCGTCGACCCGCGCCCGGACGCCGAGGAGTCCGGGGCCCATGGCGCCCGCGACGCCAGCGGCGCCACCCCAGAGCGTCGTCCAGGGACGGCCCTCGGCGTCGAGGGTGCCGAGGGCCAGGAGCGGGGCGGCGGCGATGCGGGCGGCATAGGGGCGCGGGAGGCCGGCGGAAGTGGGGTTCGCGTGCGGTGTCGGCACCGAGAGGAGGCGGTGCACGGCAAGCTCGCCGGGGTGCCAGACGGGGGCGGCTGTGGCGGCCGACATGGTGAGGTGGATGTAGGCGAGGTAGTCTGGAGTGAGGTGGTGTTGCAGGAGGTCGGACGAGGTGTTGGACGTCAGCAGCTGGTAAGGCGGGGTATCCAGGTTCGAATGTGTATCGACGTCAGGGATGGGAGAGATGGCGAAGAGGGACTGGGAGACTGGGAGGAAAAGAGAAAGGGAGACGAGGCGAATTGA